TGGATTGAAGCAATCGCCTCGCATGTGGAACAAGACTATCGACGATTTCATGCAGCTTCTTGAATTCACGAAATGCGAATCAGACCACTGTGTCTACATCAAACGCACCGGTCAAGAAATGGTTTTTGTTGCGCTTTATGTTGATGATCTTATCATTGCAAGCAGCAATATCAAGATGCTCCAAGACACCAAGCAAGCGCTTAGAAATCGCTTTGAAATGACTGACATGGGTCAGCTAAAGGATTTTCTTGGAATGGAGATAAGTCAAGACACGAAAGCTGGGACGGTCACAATGCGGCAAACTAAATTTGCGAACGATATTTTGGATAAGTTCAAGATGGAACACAGCAATCCTGTGAAGACACCTCAAGATCCGGGTCTCAAGCTTACCAAGGCTATGTGTGATGGCGGTTGTAATCACAAAGATACTATGATGAACGTGCCATACCGTAATGCCGTTGGATGCCTAATGTATTTGATGGTTGGCACACGCCCAGATCTGGTAGCTGCGGTGGGAATGCTTGGTCAATTTGCGGTTGATTCATGCCCAACGCACTGGCAAGCTTTAAAACGAGTTTTTCGATACATTAATGGCACAAGGAATTTTGGCATAGAGTTTCAAGCCGATGGTTTACATGAACTTGTGAGTTTTTCAGATGCAGATTGGGCTGGTGATGTCGAGTCAAGAAGAAGTACGAGCGGCTATGCATTCATGAAGAGCGGCGGTACGATAAGCTGGAGAAGCAAGAAACAACGCACAGTAGCTTTGTCGTCGACAGAAGCCGAGTACATGGCACTTTCAGAAGCGGCTCAAGAAGCAGTATGGCTCATGACATTTCTAAGTGAACTCGGTGAAAAAAAAACAAAGTGAGGCTGTCAAGATCTACGAGGAAAACTAAGGTTCGATCGCGCTTGCTAAAAATCCCGAGTTCCACAAGCGAACAAAACACATTGATATACGATATCATTTTATACGCGAAAAAGTTGAAGACGGCGAAGTAGCACTGGAATACGTCTCGACTCTCAACATGCTAGCGGACATCATGACCAAGGCAATCCCTGCAAGTCAGTTCTGTGTGCTTCGAGAAAAACTTGGCATTCAAGCACCA